GTCCCAGGTGACACGCGAATGCGGCCTTCTCCTTGTCAGCCCTGTATCCAGGGCTACCTGCCAATACCCGGACCTCAAGTCCAACGTAGAGAAGTACTTTGCCTTCCCTAATAATGCCAAAATGTCGTCTATCAATGGCAATGGCACCGCCAACGGCTTCGATATAGAATTCAGCTTTCTAAAATCTACACAGAAACGGTGGCCGCCATCTTTTACCTACTATTACTATTGGGAAGCTCCAGGAGAGATCGATCTTTCGATCATCCCAGCTTCCAACATTTCCTCTACTGCCTCTTCTACAAGGGTCTTTTTAATAGGTGTTCGGTAGGGTTTTAATTTCACAGGGGGTGGTCTCCGGTGTCGATTTTCATTTCGACTGTGGGGTCTGACCTAGTTCCTTATCTGACTGGGCTACCACATCTCGATTGTTCCTTAACAGACCCCCACTCTGTTTCTAAATTGATCCGGTGCTAAATATCCTCATCTAAGATTCCTTTTGTTTGCTCTACTAGCTTCCTTCGTTCCTCCTCGAATCTCACCTGATTCAGAGTTCGTAGGGAAGTGCTCTCCTATCTTCCCCTCTCCTAACCTTTTTAGTCTTTTTTGGCCCTGGTTCACCATCATTATGGGCACTAACTCGGCTGCCTCCACTACCGTTTCGCACAGGGTTACCTTATCTTCTAGGCCCTTTCCTTCTACAGGGACCAACTGCAGAGGTCCTCTCCGTACCTTTTTTTCTGACATTAGCCTACCCTTTCCTGACACTGCGGTCCTAGGAGGTAACTTTACATCTTCCTCCACCACTATGGTTATCTCTTCCTCTGGTGGGCATCCCAATGGCGTTCTCTCGCCGTTCACCACCAACACAGTAGGATTAAACTCTATCTGGGCCTTTGGCTCCGGAGCCAATCTTCTCCCAAGATTGCCTCCCGTACACAGGTCGGGGGTTACGTAAAAATTTTGGGTGCTTTTCACCCTCCCAATCCTCACCGGGAGCCTCACCATCCCCCTTATCTCCAGGGGGGCCCCTGTCTGCTTGGTGTGATCTCTATGTCCGCTTCTCGTAACCTTCTTTCCGTTTCACCTGCCTGTATATCTCCTCTCTCATCAATGACACAGATGCTCCTGTGTCCACTAAGGCCCCTCATCTCTACCACCTATCTCTGCTTTACAGGATAGTTCTCTCTTTGCGTTAGCGAAGAGAACACCTGGGCTTTCTTCTTCCTGGTCCCCACCTTTGGGTTAACCCAGCCATAGGCGCCGGTAATAATAACTCATCTTCATTTCTTTTGGGAGGTGGAGTTCTGCGCCCCCTGCACCTAAATGACCCCTGGCTGACCTCTCCTGGTCTCCCTCGGCCGTTTTAAGAATACAGTTTTTTTCAGGTGTCCTGGCCTCCCTGCAAAACCAGCACCTTCTTGCTGACAGCTTGCCTGAAAAGTACCACATGTCCAACATTTTGCTCCTTCCCTTTTTAACTGGGTTGGCCTTGTGTCTATCCTCAGGGGGAACCGTCCTCATTCAAGCGGTTCCCCAACCCACTGTCCAAGTTTTTATTTCTCTTTCTTTTTAACTGGGCCACCCTTCTTAATTCTGGGGTGGCCCGCTGGCTTTTCTTGGGCTCGGCCTTCCTTGTTAATATTGTTCTCAGCCCACACCACTTAGCCAGGTGTCCTTTCTACCACACCTGGTACACCTGTCACGATCGAAGTCTGGGGCAACCCCCACTTCGTCGGACATTCCGCCCGCCCTGTGGTCCTCGTACCCCACAGGTCCAGCAGAAATCGACCCGGCGTGGGCTTATAAAGCCAACCATGCCCTTCTATTGGGGTCCTCCTCCCATAATTCTGCCTGATCCACCTCTTCCTTAACCCTCTGTTTCCAACGGGGTTCTTCCAAGCCTCTGACTTGGTATCTGCTTCTTCCCACCTCTTCACCTTATCCCATACCCCTGGCTCTCTCTGGCCAGCTTATCGCTGCCGACAGTCTGAGCGGTCCCTCTTTCAGGACGTCGTGCCGAACACGCTCATCATGAGAGCTTCCACATACAGGTCCGCCAGTTGGGCCTGCATGACTGCGTTGTCCCTGACCACCTCGGGGAATGCTAATGACGATAGAAATTCTCCCGGGGTCTCCTCCCGAAGCTGTTTAGTTTTAAGGGCCCCATGGCCTCTATGGCCCGTACCCTCGTCGGCGAACTCTTTGGTCAGCAGTTTTTTACTTCTTCCCAGGCCAAGCGGGGATGATTTTCAAGAGTCCCCTTACGAACTCCGACGCTTTTCCCTTTGTGGCATCGTATGCCAGGTACAGGGTTTCCTGGTCCGAGAGCTCGTAGATGGTTCGGCTCTTTTCGAGGATTGTCAGCCAGTTCCTGAACTCCTTCCCACTACCATCAAACACTGGGACCCTCGGTCCACCCAAAAGCCCCTTAAATCTACTGACAACCCCGCCCTACTTCTTCTTCACCCCCCCCCACTGCTCTATCCGACTCATAATCTGAACAAGAGCAACAATCGAGGTAGGGAAATAAACATCCTAACGACTCTGTTCCTTCTTTTCCTTTGGTCCCGGGTCGTTCTGATTTCTGCTTGAACCTTCAGCAACGGCGGTCGATCGTGGTCTTCTCAGGGCCGAAAAATCCTTGGTCACGGCACCACTTGTGACGTGGTTGTCTCAGGGTTGATCCTGGTCACGGCACCACTTGTGACGGTTACACACCTGGCCCAGTGTCGGATCCTTTGGTTACGGCGCCAACGGTGACGTCGCTCCTCCTGGTCGCTCCTCCTGGGTCCAAGCGTGCCGCTCCAACCCTTTGGTCAGATGATCACCAGCCTCGCCTTTCCTGACTCGCTTCCAATACCTGGTCACTAAAAAGCAACTATACCGATCTCCGGTCTGTCTACCCACGCTGTGTTTAGATCTTAGACAGACGGACCAGCAGGGGCTGGGGCCGATACGAGCTGAGTCCGACGGGGTGGCGAAACACAACAAAACAAAAAACTCACGACACCAAACAAAATTGCTGATAAAAAAAGGGTAACAACCTTTTTTATATCTCAATGTCTATTACATAAAAGCAAAATAGTTCTCACTTCCCGACCCGTTCTGTGAACTATGGCACCAAGCTTCTATCACAAAAATAGCAAAAAAAATGTCGAACTACCTACTTTCTAGAATCATGTATGTATGTCGGCGTGTGGTTCAGTTCGACATTGGGCTAATTTCTATCGGTCGTTCGCAGTTGGTTCTTCTCTTCGACGTGAACTGTATTTCTTCTTCGTTTGTTTAGACTGGTAGATTTCTTGTTTCAATTCGGTGGAAGATTTCTTGTCTTCAACTTCGGTGGAAGATTTCTGCTCCGATTCAGTGGAAGATTTTATGCTTCAATTCGGTGGAAGATTTCTTGTCTTCAACTTGGGCTGGAAGGATTTCTTGTTTCGAGGATTCTTCTGTCGTCCGAGGGTGAACTGCAACTCACGCCCAACCTAACTCCAACTTCAACTCAACTTCAGCTCCAACTGATTTCTGTCGACTGGGTCCTGCTTATATTGACGCCGCAACAAACTGGGGTGGGTCTGTCGGTCAGGGTTTTCTCGATAATTCCAAAAGCCGTATTAATTTTGACTTTCCATTATCGTTATTGTTTTCACCCCTACTTTCTCAGTGCTCTTGGGGGGCGGCGCATATCTATTTCTCTTAGTCTCTCTCATGTCAGGTGATCGCTCTCAACCAATCGTTCCCGATCGAACCTTTCTTTCTCTTCTTTTCCGCAGCCCACGTGACCGCCTCGTCCAACAGTTATTGATCGAGGTTTTCTTTTCCTTCTTCTTCCGCGGTCACGTGATTGTATTCGACCAATTGTTATTGACCGAACACCCTCTCCCTTTTGTTGGCGGGTGTGGTTACATCGTGCTGGTTTTAAAAAAAAAAAATCCGATTTCGCACCTTTTTGCACGTACGCAAAATGACAATCCTTGCCCTCTCTCACCTGGACTTTGTCAAACAGCCCGCTGCTAATTAGTCTTGACTTTTTAGAAAGGATCTTTTCCGCCTTCCTGGCGCCCTCCGTGGTCCAAAAACAATTGCTCTTCTTTTTACCTCTTTGTTTTTCCTGATAGCCGAGAATCTTAATTATCTAGGTCGAAATATCTCTACTTTCTTAACGTGGGTGTCCAATTCTTAACAGGTCAATTCCGTATATCGTTTTCACCAGTCACTTCCCCAACCCAAAGACACTTTCTCTCTGACTAAAGTAAAATTCATTTCTATTATTCTAATTTAAAAGTTACCTTTCGTTATTTTGATAAGAATTCTTCTACGAAAATGTCGGTCAGCGCTCGCGACCGATATCAATTCTATTCTCTCAACAAAAATTAAGGTCAGTCAGAGGCTCTGACCGACATCTGGTCCACACCCAGCGGCCTGTTTTCGATATCATGTCTTTTCCTTTCTTTCCCCTTTTGTTATTATCTTTCCTTTCTTCCTTTTTCCTTTCTTTCTTTTTCCTTGCTTTAGGATCGTTTAGTACATTCTTAGTGAATTATTTTCAACCCAGTTATTTTCCGTTTTAAAGAAAAAAAAATTAACAACCTGTTTAATAAACTGAATAAGAAAAAATTAACTCATATTTCTATGAATATTTCCAATAAATGCAAGGTGCCATATATATATATATATGTGTGTGTGTGTGTGTGTGTGTGTGTGTGTGTGTGCGTGTGTAAGATTACAAAAATCGTGATGGATTTAATAGATACGTGTATACGTATCTATTTATCTATCTATATGATCTTATCGCAAATATGGAGGAACGAACCTGAAAAATTACTCGGCCAACCAATTATCATCATTTCCTTTGAAGTAGGTCCCTTCTAAGCTTTTTGCATATTGACTCGAAAAGGGCAGTTTCAAAAGTTTGGTTGGTTCATGGGTTTCAAAATTCCCAGAAAATTTTCTACAGTACTTCGTATATATATATATATATATGTGCATGTGCGCATGGTTTAATAGATGCGTGCCTGGTGTGATGGAGGTGTGCATGTAGTGATGGATATGCACATGTGTGATGGATGTGTGCATGGTGTTTTGGATGTATGCATGGTGTAATGGATGTGCACATATTGTGATGGATGTACGCATGGGGAGATGGATGTGTGAATGGAGTGATGCATGTGCACATAGTGTAATAGATGTGCGCATGAAGAAATGGACGTGCACATGGTGTGATGGATGTGTGCAGGTAGATGTATGTGCACAAGTGTAATAGATATGTGCATAGAGTATTGGATGTGCACATGGTGTGATGGATGTGTGCATAGTGTGATGGATGTATACATGGCGTGATGGATGTGTTCATGGTGCGATTGATGTGCACATGGTTTAATGGATTTGTGCATAGAGTGTGGATGTGTGCATGTAGTGATGGATATGCACATGTGTGTTGGATGTGTGCATAGTGTAATGATGTGTCCTTGGAGAGGTGGATGAGCACATGATTGATGGATGTGCACATGGTGTAATGAATGTGTGGATGTAGTGATGGATATGCACATGTGTGATGGATGTGTCCTTGTAGTGATGGATATGTGTGCAGGTTGACGGATGTGCACAAGTCTAATGGATGTGTGCTGTGTGTGATGGATGTGTGCATGGTTCAATAAAAAATAAAAGAAACCTGTAAAAAAAGAAAATACCTCTTCAATTGCTTCATTTACTGATTTTTAGGGATACATACAGTAACTAAGATGAAATTAAATCGAAATAAAAAGTAAACAAACGTCAAAAAGGATAGAGGATTTGGTTAATTAATGAGATATGTGATCCCTTTTTTTCAAATGACTTAGAAAAGGCGCTGATCCATCGAACGTGTCAATTTCTAGATCTCCTCTTATGTAATTTCACGTTTTATACAGCCTCTGCATGTGCCTATTCCCATTATACTGTGAAAATTTCGTTAAATTCCGTCTTGTAGTTTTTGAACAAAATGAAAAACACGTCACCTCGTTCATAATTTGAAACGCAGTACAAAGTGGGAAAAGGTGTTCATGCGACGCGTTTCGTCCTTTAGGACTTCATCGGCCGAAGTTTGTTTCTGTTGGCGCAACTACACATGCACACGAACGAGAGATGCTGGAAATTTTAATCTTTTTTTCTATTTGCTTTAGCTATACACTCTAGCCAATTTAATTTAGATTCGATACCCAAAACACATTTAAAAAAAACTAAATTTAAAATTACCAGCTTCTTTCGTCTTTTCCACACACACACACACACACACACACACACACACACACACACACACACACACACATATATATATATATATATATATATATATATATATATATATATATATATAGTCACACTATAAGCTTTCACGGGATTGAAAGGAGAAATGTCGATGAAACAGAAACAAAAACAAAAACTCTAATCCTACTTGAAACTTATTCTGACAGCTATCCATTATGGCTGTCCAAGAATTTCCGGTTGAGTAATTTTTCCTGAAAGAAATGTAATAAAGCGAAATACAAATACAAATCATCCATCTTGGTTGGCCACTGTTTTCAGTAAACTAACGCCAGGTGACAATAATCGTCACATTGCCAATCCGAAAATAATTTGGTCTATGCTGGGGTCGGTGGCGTAATTGCCTGCTCAATTGAGTTGTTACTTTACAGTAAAAAATCCTCATCATTCGTTTTCCTGACTTTAGTCCAACCTTTTCACCTCTTTGAAAAGTAAATGATGAACGTCGTAATTTCTTTCGTTATTTATATGCGGGGAGGAACTTTTGTCTAAAATTGGTAGGTGTCCAGTTCAGTTTTTCACTGATATGTACCGGAGTTTTTATCACCTGCAAAGATTCTGACCCACAGAAGTTACAAGTGGAAACACGAATAAAAGAAAATAGAGGAAAGAGATTTTCTTTACAATGGCGAAAATAAAAGGAAATATCGGCCAAGCGCCGAGATAAGAAAAAAAAAAAAGAAATGGTTGCTCTTTCACAAAACTGAGGGACCAAAACAAGAAGCGGTGAAAGTATTTTTCTGATAATTCTTGTCAGATTTTGACTTCTTACGTTGTAGATAAAAGTCTGTTTCTCGGTTCAATAAAGCCAATTTAATATTTCTCACGGTATATACAAAAGACAGAATTACTTCGATTATACATTGATTCCTTGCCTTCTTTTCATGTTGGTCGTGTGATTTGCGGTCTTCTTGGTTGGATAGATACTTGGTATTATTCTTTTGTTATTTAGTGCCAGTGATAATGTTTTGCAGCTCATTCTTGTTCAACCATTTTATATAGATTTCATTACCAGTTATTGAACAGAAACTAACAGATAACTGCGGCACAAAATTTACGCTAATATCAACATGGCCAACAGAGTACAACTGAGTGGTGTAACTTTGGAACCTCAAATCTAATGTCTCTGGTTCAACAGGTCTTTTTCACTTCAGATTCGTGCCGCTGTGATAATATTAGTCTGATTTTATTAGATGAGAAATTGTCCTTATTATAGGGAATTGCCTTATTATAGGGAATTGTCTTTATTATAAGGAAATTGTTACAAGAAATTACCTGTTGATTCAGTCGAAATGTTGTCCCAACCTTAGTCATAAGGTCTGTTCAAGTAATCTCACATATGCTGTATCGTAAACTATTGTTTGTTTCACACGAAACGTGTGAAAACACATGTAATACCCTGCCCTCGTCAGTCGCCAACCAAGGGAGATAACACAGTTTCGGTGGCTAAAGCAGTACTGCCACCCTTGGCGCCATCAGCAGCTTTTTCCACCGGACAGGGTGTTGTTTTTTTGTGTAGACATGTAATTTCTTGTGATTTTTTTCAACTGCAAGTCAGATTTTCGCCGTTGTGATAAACGCATTTGCTTTTGCTCGTGGATACCGTTATCAATGACGTAGACTGGAAGGTGAACAGATGTGTTTCACGTTGGAAGTAGCATTTTATTGCGAGCATGGTTTTAATTAACTTTGTATATTTGTTTATTTCTTAAACAGATCCAACTCGATGCCTTTTGAGCTGTGGTCTGGAGACGATGTGAAGCATTCTCAAAAGGAAGGAAGCGTTTGATCCTCCAAGGAATCCCCGGTACACGACCCTTAATAGGTAGCACATTGCATGTCCATCCCTTTTCCACGCAGTTGGATCGCGGCGATTCGTAGCGATTTTTCTTTCTTCCGTGCGCCTCCTTCTCCCTGTTTCACTTCTAATGGAACCGTTAATTCAACTAGGAAGACTCACTTCTTTGAATCAGTCCACGCTACAATGTCATGGCGTGCGTCGGTCTGAATGAAATGTCCTGGAAATTGCAGAAATGTTCTAAGATCAACTAATACCATCCAATCACGAGCTCCAGTCAGTAGCGTCATGTTGGTAGTTATTTGGGTCTTTTGCACAGGGCGTTCACCTTCCTTGTGAAAACGGATCTTAGGTTCTCTAGACGTTACAGGTTATTTCTTAGCTGCTTCAAATTGTGTACTCAGTCCATGACCGCTTCCAGCATTTTGTTATGACCGCCACGCGCGCGCGTACATCTGCAGTGATTGTAGGCATGCAGGGAGCTCATGACAAAGTTTCTCGATCACTTTCATATGATGCTCATGCATCGGTTTTAGTGTAACCGCCACAGCTTGAGGTTGATTGCATTTGGTTATAGGAGATCATAGGTAGATCGCAGGAGGAATGATAGTGTTAATGGCTTCATTGCAATCAGGCTATTCATCGGATCAATATCACTCCATGTCGTCCATTGCACATTGTTCGAACTGAGAAACAGCAGTAACTGTTCGCTGCTCTTCCTCGAAATTCCTGATTTCTTCAATATCCATGTCTCGTTTTCCCTTTGTGTCCTGTTTGGAGAAAAACTGTTTGCTTGTGCTGTCCAGGCCAGCTCGAATGGTTTAGGTCACCCCCATAATCTCCTTGATTCGTAGGCTGGATTCTGGTTCTTGGGTAGCTTATGCCGACAATTTGGTGCCAGATTTGATATCTGGCTGCAACCAGCGGACGAACTGATCATATAAAGGTGTACCTTCACGAAACTGAACTCCTCCACCAATGAAGAGATGGGAAGTTGGAAGTTTCCGGCATTAGTATATAGAGTCCTACTGTGGAGAAGCCGGGTGAACTCCGAACCACTTGCGCAGTTGATACCCTGTTGCGTTTGCTGAATGTGAGATATTGTAATATCCCACACTTGCAATGGCCGTAGAAGCAGCAAACCATTTTGGCAGCACCAAGCCTTTAGTTTTCCGAGGATTTTGATTATAATTAGTTAGATGTATTCACTACTATTTCTCTAGTAGTTTCATGTCAGGATTAGTTTAGCCTCCAGTTTTATCATCTACTGTTTATGGTGGAGATCTGCTTATGAATACAAGGTTCATTTCGACTTTCTATTGATAATGTACATTTGGAATACTTTATTTCAGCAAAGGAAAAGAAAAAAAACAACCAAATTAATTAAATTTTTATAATTAATTTTTGTTTAGTTGTCAATACCGAGTTCTTTAGATTATTTAGTAATACGCTTAGAGGCCTTAGAGGATTTCGGGGTGAGGCTATTTTTACAGTGTTTGGGGTGGGGGAGTTACATACAGTTCAAAGATCTCCTCTCTCTCCCTTTTTCTTTCTCTGTTTATCATTGTATTTCTAAAAATGCCAAATTAAAAATTTAAAAATATCTTTTATATTACAGGATATACTACAGGATGTTTCTCTAAAAAGTCTGTATACATAAGCGTTAAAATATGTAATTACTTTAGGAACACCTGAAAAAAAAAGAATGATAAACTAATTCTTGACGCAGTTTCCTAACATTCAACCTTGTGTTGATGTTGTTTGTTCACTTATAATCCATAACAGTGAAATATACAATTACTTTCCAAACACCCTAATATATATATATATATATATATATATATATATATATATATATATATATATATATATATATATATATATATATATATATATTGTTATGGTCCGGTTAGGTATAAACACTAAAAAAGTGCCCAATGCAAAAATAGAAAATGCAGAGCAAAAATATTTAAGAAAAAACACTAAAATTCAGTCTACCTTGCTTCCCGTGTTTCGACCGCAAGGTCTCCTCAGACAAAGAAGAATATATATATATATATATATATATATATATATAGGAAGGTAGGTAGGTAGGTAGGTCTGATGAATTGATCGTGATTACGATTCCAATGTAATAAATTATAACCATGCAATATTAGTGTTTGAGCCTTTTATATTATATTCTTACTCTGTACTAGGCATTGAGTTCTACCTGGATTCTAGCCTCTTGGGAATTTACATAAATATATATATATATATATATATATACATATTAACCAATAATATTATCTATCTATCTATCTATCTATCTATCTATATCTATATATATATATATATATATATATATATATATATATTCAGCATATACAAAACCCAAGAGCCACTCAAGATAGAAGGTTACTTTGTGGAGTTATATTACCGTAGGGAACGATAAGCGCTAAGAGTATA